GCTAAATCTGACCCCCAAGGATACGGTAAAATGATTGCCCAAATTATCCGGCAAAAAATTAATGAGTTTAAGGTGGAGATTGCTAAGTTAGGTGAGAAAATAAATACAAAGTTGGCTCGGTTAGAAAATGGCGAAGTTACTAGTGATACGGAAGTGAGAGGTATTGAAGAAGAAATTAGCGAAGAAGTTAGTCAAGAAGTGGCTAATGTGGAAGTGAATAATCTACTGATTCAAGCCCAAAACTTATTAAATGGTGCAGCTGATAAGTTAAAAAGTCAATTAAAAGAGGTGAAAAATGGTCTTTGAAGTCTAAAAGTTAGCATCAATCCTTACCAACAAAAAGCCTATCAAACCAAGAAGAATGAAGTAGAACAAGCCCTTAGAAAATTAGAAATTGGTTCTCAAAATACTAATCAACCAACTAAATCAGGTTTTTCCCGTCCTGAAGTAATTATTCCGGTTTGTTTAGGTCTTTTTATGATAGTAGTAGTTGCTGCTCTAATAATTAGAAATAAGAAAGTTAGCCGAGGCAAAAAATAGAAAAGTATAAATGTCGGAGGAGAGTTTAAATAGTATTTCGGAAAAAGAAAAGGATTTAACCACCTATCTCAAACATTATGGGTTTTTTTTGCCCAATGCAGAAATTTATGGCGGTTTAGCTAAGTCCTGAGATTTAGGGTCTCATGGAATTGAATTAAAAAGAAATTTAAAAAATCTGTGATGAAAGTATTTTATTTCCAGCAACTCTTATAATATCGGCTGTGATAGTCAAATAATTACTCACCCACAGGTTTTAGAAGCCTCTGGTCATCGCCAGAATTTTCATGATTGAATGGTGGAGTGTCTAAACTGCCAAAAAAGGTATCGTCTTGATAAATTAATTTCGGAAGAAGAATACACTCGTTTTTTAGAAAAAAAGGACAAAGGTAATTACTTGATAAGAGATAATTGCCTCAAATGTGGAAAGAATAATTTTTGTCCTCCTCGTCAATTTAATTTATTA